GAAGGAACCCGGGCTTGGGTTCCATCAAACCCAAGCGTGTTGGATTCGAAGGAACCCACGCCTGGGTTCCAACCCAGCAGCACCCTTTCTTTCTCCTTCCACTTCCTTACCTTCTTCATCTTCATCATCATCAATCAACAAAACCAAAAAAAAAAAAAAAACAGAACTTAAACCCAAAAATCCTGGGTTCCATCGAACCCAGGCGTGCTGGGTTCCACCAAACCCAGCGGTTGGGTTTGGAGGAACTCGCGCTTGGGTTCCATCGAACCTAGCCGTGCTGGGTTCCTTGGAACCCAGTTGCTGGGTTTGAAGGAACCCAAGCACGCTGGCTTCCACCGAACCCAGCACCTAGGTTCGAAGGAACCCGTGCTTGGGTTCCATCGAACCCAAGCATGCTGGGTTCGAAAGGGAAAGAAAAGGGGAAGGGGAAGGGGAAGGGGAAAGAGAAAGGGAAAGAGAAGGAAAAAAAAAAATAAATGTTCTAAGTTTTATTTAATTTTTTTATATTATTATTTTTTCATGTCATTACTTTTTTTGTCATATTATCTTCCACGTGTATTAATATGTGACATGTCATCTTGTAACAATGAAGTAACATGCCACGTCATCAAATTTTTAACAGAAGGACCAAATCGGGGTAAAAATGGTAAATAGTAAGAATCAAATCAAGGATTTTTTGAGTTTAGGGACTAAATCGAAGCTCTGTACAATAGTTCAGGGACCAAAATGAGGTTTTAACCTTTTTTCTTTTTTAGCAATGAAGAATAACACTATTACAAGATATAAGAGTTGATAAATATTGATCTTGATAATAAAAAAAAATATTTTTTTTAGTGTGGTTGTAGTTTTAAATTTTCAATTTTAATTTTTACTATAAATTTTACCGCTTATAAAAAAGGAAATTAATCAAGCATAGCCATCATTCAATAGGATACATTCGCGTTTAGTCTTCATTTTGAAAATTTTATGTCCCGAACTTTTTAAAAAAGAATAATAATAAATGGGTTAAAAATTTTAGGTCTAAAATTTAGACTCAAGTACATGTATAAATTATATTATTTAAAATATTAAAAAATAAATTATATATTATTTAATGATTAATTTTTTAATTTGATTAGATATATAATATTATATGTATCAAATTATTTAATGATATAACTTATATTATATCTTTAATCTTAAATTTTCATATCTTGTATCACTCTTCTTCTGCAAAGGAATGCTTAAAACATTAGTTTGGAATAATATAACCATTAATATATATAGGAACCATTAAATTAAAAAAAATTAAAATTTATATAATATCATTTAAAAGTTTAATATTCTGCTTTTGTTAAGTCCTTTTTTTTTAGTCATATTTTCATAACAATTAGAAAAATAACTTGGGAGGAAGAAATTTTTAAAGATTAGGTCTGAAGTGATCTCCAATGAAAAAAGAAACTAAAAAGGGACTAAAATGATGATATGAAACAAAGTAATTAAGGATAAAATTGATAAAAATAAAACTTAAAGAACCAAATTAAAAATTTCACAATAGCTAGGGGGACGTTTGCCATAACATGGCGGAGGTAAAGCTAATGGTACAAGATACTGATTTGGAATGATTATCAAGTTATTAGAACATTCTAGCGGTTAATATATCAAGGTTAAATCTCTTTTTTTAATCTTTAAAGTTCGAAATTTGACTCTTTTTTAATCCTTTTATTAAATTTTGGTTGATATTGTATGTTAATTAATGAAAAAATTTATTTATTTTTATTTAAATTACATATAAAAATCTATCTAGTAAAAATTGATGACTTATTCAAATTTTTTGTCTAATATAATCTTAAAAATCATTTAATTACATAATTGTCATTATAAATATTTTAAAGGATATTTTGTAATTACTTATTTGCCCCCTCATCTTCTTCCCCATTTTGTCTTATCCTCTCCTTCCATTGGCTTTTTTTTTTTTTTTTTTACACCTTTGCTAGGTTCATCGCGCCCAAACTTGCAATTGATTCTTTGCTTGTGATCTCTCCCAAACTTGCAGCAGCAGGGGCCACGAATTTTTCAGGGCTACAGATTCTTGATCTCGAAAATGGGAATGTCAAAGAAGTTTTGAATTGGGAAAATGTGACCAAGTCTAGTTCTACAGTTCAAGCCATTGGGGCATCGAGCAAGTTCTTATTTACAAGCTTCGAGTCAGGTAAGAGAAACTCGAATTCAATAATGGTGTATGATCTAAATACTTTGAAAGCAGTCACTGAGATTGGGCATTATGAGATTTATGGCGCTGATATTGATTCTGCAATCCCTACCACAAAGGTGAACTAGGTTTCAAATCATAGATTGGTTATGGTTGCCGGTTTGCATAGTGGATTATCGTGTGTAATGGGTAATATTAAGTTTTGGGATATACGGTCTGGGAATGTGGTTTTTGAGTTGAAGGAGAAAGTTAACTGCTTTGCAGATGTTTGTGTTTTAGATAACTTGAATTCCATTTTTAAGGTTGGAGTTAATTCTGGGGAGGTCTTTTATGCAAATTTTAGGATTTTAGGAGGTGGAGATAATGATGGTGGTGGTAACAGCAGTGATATATGGGTTTGTCTTGGGGATGGTAGGAAGATTTTTAACGGGAAGAAGGAGGGTTCTGGATGCAAGACAAACCCAACGCGCGCCTGGATTCGCTACGAACCCAACTCCTGGGTTCGAGATGAACCCAGCAAAGGTTGAAAAAAACAAAAGCCGGTGGAAGGAGAGGATAAGACAGAATGAGGGAGAAGATAGGTGTAAATAAGTAATTATAAGATAACTTTTAAAATATTTATAATGAAAATTATATAATTAAATGATTTTTAAGATTATATTAAGTAAAAAAATTAATTAAGTCATCAATTTTTATTAAATGAAATTTTTACATAATTTAAATAAAAAAATTTGTTAATTAATATGTCACATCAATTAAAACTTAATGAAAGAATTAAAAAATAGTCAAATTCTTAATTTTAAAGATTAAAAACGAAATTTTTTTAATATAAAAATTAAAAAAAAATTTTTTTTTTTCATAGTAAAAGAATAAAAAAAAATATTTAACCATAAATCAAAAATGTGTTTTATACGTTTTGAATTGCAAGAAAAAAAAAGTACATAAACACATATACAATTATTTCACCGATTTTTATGTACTTTTTGGTTTTTTCAAAATGACTGAAAAATTTGTTTTCTCGTTTAACTTAATAATAATATTAGAGTATTACTTTTGAAACAGACTTAACCCCGTTCCAAAAATTCGTTAAAAAAAATAACAATATAAATATTGTAAATGTACTATGCAAATTAAAAGAATGGGACAACAATTAATGATTAAAAAAAAAAACAAAAACAAAAGTGCACCTTGCTTTTATGTATCGTGCTTTCTCCAAATGACGGAAAGAAATGCTAGGCTAGGCAAAAGGCTTCTTCACAGACTGCACGCTTCAGTATGGGCTATCTTCTTCAAAGATTTTCCTTACATGTAACAAGTTAGTTAAAAAGTAGAAGATTGATCCAATCCATTGGAGGAGAGGGGGAGTATTAATCCAGAAAATTGAAAGTAAAAAATATA